CAGATTTGTTCTTGCTGAGCGTCTTATTCAGAGTCGGCAATACTCCGTCTGCAGCTATGTTAATCAGCGTAATGGCCGTTGAACTCCACATGTTCACACCGGGCGTTCACAGTTCGACCTGGCTCTAGAAATGCAGCCGAAAGACTGGGCCTAGGGCCTGATCGCGATTTTCCACGATGCTGCAGATTTTCTGCAGCGTCAGATTTCGGGGCCCCCGAGGATCGGGGTCGTCAGGAGTTGTCGGCCCCCTGTCGGCTTCGGGAGGGCCCCCGCGGCCACGTGCCCCAGACATGCGACGTCCTGATTTTTGTTCAGGACGGCGTCCCTGGAAGCCCTGGCCCTTTCCCTGAGGCTGGTTTCTCGTCCTCAGTCGTTTTTTGACGGTCCAGGCCGTCCGTCCCAGTCAGCGTTGGCGCCGCCGTCGACGTCGCCGTCGCCGCCGAGGCCGTCGCCGTCCCCTGAGATCCGACGTTGCGACACAGCTGCGACGCTGCGCAAAAAATCACGACCAGAGCCCCGGACCCCTTCTTTTCGCGGCACCGTTCGAGTCAGGTCGATCCGTGATTGTCTTAGGTCGGGCATGACCCCCTTTACAGGCGAATCTTAGACGAAAAATGATAAATAATCAAAAAGTCTGCACAAGTAGTAAAAGAAGTCGTCCCCATATTGTTTGTTTGTTTTTGTACATTCCTCCTGTAGAGGGACACGCACGACTTAATGGTTGTCCCAGGCCCCGAGCCCGAAAACGGCAGCAAACGCCCGTTGGATCTCGGGGTCGCCATCGTCGCCGTCGCCTCAAGTCGGGCCTGTCCCTCCACAGGAGGAAGAGTCAAGAATAGTTTAAACAGCAGTCTGGGGACGATCTTGTTGTTCCTATTTTGGCCAGTTTTGAACATCTTTTGACCGTTCCTTCTTTTCGTCCCAAAGCCCGCCTGTAGGAGGCCACGCCCGACCAACCCAGGCATCCGACGTCTCGATTTCTTCGAGACACGGGCCCCCAACCTCCCGACCACTCCCCCGGGACCGGCTTCTCCTCCCGAGTCGTTTTTTGACGGTCCCGAGGCCCGGCGAGGGACTCCAGAGGCCGAAAGCGAAGAAAAGAAGAAAAAAAAAACACCTTTGTCTCGATTTTTTCGAGACGCCCGATGTCTGGGAGCGTCGCCGTCGCGTCGCAGCGCCGCGGCCTCCGCCCTCGCCGCGGAGAGGCCGCGCGGGCCAGCTCGGCGAGGGGGCGCGCGCGGGGCGAGGCGGCGGGGCCCGCCCGCTCGTCCGAGGAGGCGGCCGGCCGCGGCGAGACCACGCCGCACGAGGCCCGGCGTCGGGGAGCGCGCGGCTGGCGCGGGCGCCTCCTCCTCCTCTTCCTCCTCCGCCTCCTCCTCCTCTCCTCCTCTCCTCCTCCCCTCCTCTCCTCCTCCTCCTCCTCCTCCTCCTCCCCCTCCCCCCCCCTCCTCCTCCCCCTCCTCCTCCTCCCCCTCCTCCCCCTCTAGGACCCCCCTCCCCTCCTCCCCCCGTGCCCCTCCCCCCCCGTGCGCGACGTGCGCGCGGCGCCAACAAAGTCGAGACGGGGAGGGTTTTCGCGATCCTCTTTCCTCCTCGGCCCTCGAGGCTGACTGGGAGGGGGAGGAGGAAGAGGAGGAAGAGGAGGAGGAGGAGCAGGAGGAGGAGGAGGAAAAGGAGGAGCAGGAGGAGGAGGAGAAGGAGGAGGGAGAAAAGGGTCGGGACTTCAGGGACGCCGACTTGAACAAATCAGAACGTCGCATGTCTGGGGGGCCACCCTGGCGTGGCACCGTCCATTTTGTTCGCAGCCCAGGGGTTCTGTCTTGGAGCGGCGGTCACGGCCAACTCGGGGTCACGCCTCTGAGGAGGCCCAAGACGCTTCTCAGGAGGCCCAAGACGCTTGAGGAGGCCCAAGACGCCACTGAGGGGCCCTCTCAGGAATTCTCCAGAGGCTTTTGGAGAATGATGATGCAACTCGCACCACGGAGTGGATCAGTTTACTGGGGAAAGACCCAGTTTACCGGGAGAAGAAATTCATTCCCCCGATGGGTTCCCCCGAGGGCCTCCGGGAGGGGTCAAAAGCATGCCCGCCAACACGGGTGCGTGACTGCCGCAGGTTTGCAACGCTGTCAAATGGACGCGACCACTTGAGATCCGCCGTCCCCTGGGCGATTTCGCAGGCAGTATCTCGGAAACCTGGTGGATTGGAATGGATTACAGATCTGTGCAATACAACATGAACGGAGCATAACATACCCGAAGCATGGCGGCATGCCAAGGTGAGCACGATCTACAATAACGAGGGCCCGATCCATATGTGCGAAAACTATCGGCCAATTTGGATGCTATGTGTGGCATACAAACTCCTCGCCAGCCTCTTCCTACATCGTCTACAACAGGCTGGGGCAGAAGACCGGCTGACGCAAACGCAATGCGGCTTCCGCCGCGGGCGAGGTACAACAGATACCATTCACGCAATGCGCCGTCATATCGAACTCGCACGCGGTGGGAAAGATGGTGGGACTACATTGGTCGCCCTGGATTCGAAGCATTCTTTTGATTCCATCAATTTCGAAGCTTTGTTGGCGGCGCTGCGCCGTGTTGGGGTGCCCCTGAAGGTGCTTACGCGGATTGGGCATATTTTTGAGGCCGGGCAATTTTGCGTGAACAGCAGGGCGTTGAAGTCTTCCGAAAAAAAAAGAGATGTCGGGAATATCACATGTGTGTCCGTTGTCGTTTTGTCGTCATGGCCATGACAATGGTTTTGCGAAGCGCCGTGGAGAGCCGGAGCGACGATGACAACTTGGACGTGTCTTTTGGAGACCTTTCGGTGCTTTTTGTGTGCCGACGACACGCTGCTCACCGGGAGAAGTCAAACCAACTTGCAACATCTCTTGGACAATATCGTTCTGGCGGGGACTCAAGTTGGGATGGAGCTACATTGGGACAACTTCCAGATGATCAAGATCAACAGCGACGTGACGCTGAGGACGCCAGCCGGGCAACCTATTCCGGAGAAGCAGAGCATGTAATATTTGGGTGCTTCTTTATACCAGGATGGGCAATTGGTGGCCGAACTAAACAAGAGACTCGGGGCAGCACGGGCCGACTTTTCCAAATGCGACCGGGCATGGAAGCACACGGCGCTGACAAAGCAGCAACATGTTTTCGAACATGGTTTTTTTTTGGGGGGGGAAAACGCTGGTGACGACGAAGATCATGCACTCACTCAACACGGCGTTGCTGAACAAGGCCGAGAGGAGACGATTGGATGGACTTCGAGCCATATGCTCACGGAAAGCATTGCACATACCTCCGTCTTAGATTCTGCAAGTGCCGAATAAATGAGGTACTGGAACAGGCCGGGCAGATGCCGTACAGCGCGCAAGGCCTTCAAACACATGTCATACTTTTTGGTAGGATTGGACGTGCTCCAAACACAAACTTTCTGCGACGACTGATTTTCCAGCCTGACAACGTTCATTCAGTCGTGGATGAGCACCAAAGGAGGCGAGGCAGACCGAGCCACGAATGGGCGAAATGTATACACAAGGCGCTGGTTGCACATCTCGGGCCGCAGCGAAATTGGTTGCCGTTCCTGCAGGACCCCGCCGGATGGCGAACCATTTTGGAGAGCATCGCGCACAAATCTGATGATGGCGGCTACCAGTGACAAGTTTGTACATGCATTGCGCGTAGTGCCGGGTGCGTTGGCGTTTTTTTTGCTTGTCCTGTTTCGCCCACGCTTTTAGGCGCATGTCGTCGTGTAGCGTGGCGAAGCGGAAATATCCTTGCCATACTCTTCATGCTCCTCTGACGTAAGTAAATTCCCGCCTCGCTTTGCCGTCGCCGTGTCCGCCTGTCCCCGGCGGAAATAAACACCCTTTCATTTCTTGACGGGAAGAATTTCCACACTATTCTCTCGCATCCATCGGTGTGGGCTCTACTCATCTCTATTTTATTCGACCCTACTATTATGTACCTGACTCCACTCCACGATCTACCCTAGTCTGTTTAGCTTTATTTTGTCCTTATTCTACCCTACCGTACCCGACCCTACTTTTTGATACTTTCTTCTGCTCCTACGAAATTCCGAGCATACCCTTAGCCTTACTATTGTACCCCTACTATACTCAACACTGCTTTGCTCTACTCTTCTTTATTCTGTTCTACCCTACGCTACTTTACCATCTACCCTCGTCGGCCCTACTTTGTCCTAATATACCCTAACATGTTCTGCCTTACGTTGCTCGGCTTCACTCTGCTCTTGGGATACTCAAATAGAACCCTGCACCAGTCTACTCTAGCTCTACTTCCCGCGCCTCCATTCTACTCTACTCGACTCTGCTGTATTCGATTCTGGTCGACTCTACTCATGTACTATGCTCAACTCTGTTCGACTCGACTCTTCTCTATGACACCCGGCTTCGCCGTACGATGCACCCTCGTGCATTCTACCCAGACTGTCCCGATCTCACACAACAAACAATTCGATGTTGCCCTACCCCACCCACGCCACTCTACTCCATTCTGTTCAATTCTACTCCTGCTCCATTACTAGTCGATCTGTTCTCCACCCTACTCTACTCGAATCTTCTTGGCCCCACTCTACCGTCCACCCTCTATTCTGCACTTCGCGACTCTGCTCTGCTGCACTCTATTGTACCCTACCCTACCTTAGTCTAACGTACACCTACCCTACGCCTACTCTACTCTTGCTCTATTATGCTCCATTCTATTGCGCTACTCTATTCGACTCTATCCTGATCTACACTCATCTACCCTTGTGGATTCTAAGTGTCGGTTCCTTTCTACCCTACTCATCGACCCTTCGCTACTCTATTCCACTCTGTTCTACGTCAACACACTCGGTCCTACTCCGTTGTTGAGTAGGACGAGAGTTGAATGTCAGCACGAAGCCTTTGCAATAGCAGGGGAAGCCACTGCAGTGGCCGAGGAAGCCATTGCAACCATTGCCGTCATCCGGGGCAAAGAAAAGGGTCGGCGGGCGCACCGCTGGACCAGCTTCCCAGGAATGGAGCTCTGTTTCCTTCTAGAGGAAGCATGGCGCAGGGTTCCGCTCCGTTCCCCTGACATCCACCGGCGTGGCCCTCTCAGTTTTCAGCCCGCGGCCCCAGAGGCCCCGACCGTCCGACCTCTTCCCCAGGACCCGTTTTTCGGCCCGGACCCATCTCATCAGGAGGAGGAGGAGGAGGAGGAGGAGGAGGAGGAGGAGGAGGACGAGGGGGGGAGGAAGAGGAGGAGGAGCAGGAGGACGAGGACGAGGAGGAAGAGGAGGAGGTCTCCGGGCCCGACAACGGACCCGGGATGCCGACAGCGAGGAACGTCGGGCGGGCGGCAATGATGGGGGTCACCCCAAATGGGGGGTGAAGAAAAAGGCCCCACAAGGGGCCCTTAAGGGCCCCTTGTGAAGCCATCGGGTCCCCAAAGGGGCCCGAAGGGCCCCCTTAAGGCCCTTTTCTTCGCCCTCCCCCATGTGGGGAACTCCTCATTACCACCCGCCCGAAAACACCGCCAGTTTACAAAAAACAGGCAGTCGGAGATCTGGGTCGTGCGGGGGGATCCCCATGTGCCGACCGTTGAGGGCTCCCGTCGGACGTGTCTCGCGGCGTCGTCATGATAATGCGCCTGTCGATGGGCGTGGGCCAGCCCTTTTCAGGCACGCTGGCCTCCTCTTCTTCTTCTTCTTCCTCCTCCTCCTCCTCCTCCTTCTCCTCCCCTTCCTCCTCCTGCTACCCCTCCTTCTCCTCCTCACTCCTCCTCCTCCTCCTCCTCCTCCCTCCTCCTCCTCCTCCTCCTCCTCCTCCTCCTCCCTCTCCTCCTCCCCTCCTTCCTCCTCCTCCTCCTCCTCCTCCTCCTCCTCCTCCTCCTCCTCCTCCTCTGTCAGCTTCAACAAGATCTCGGAAACCAATGCGCCGACTCCAGTCGCTTCCAGTTCACCGTCATCCGCAAAAACGCGAGAAGCCTCTCCACAGACGACTCCATCGACACGCTGATCTGCGAATTGGAGACCATGGCATGGGACATCGTGGCAATAAATGAAACTTGGAGGACGACAGAACGAGAGATGTGGACAACGAAGTTGGGTTCCCACGTATTTGCGGCAGCGGGCCACACCACCACATCAAGAGGCGTAGCATTTCTTATCCACCGACGGCACGTGCACAGCATCACATGCTTCACACGCATCAACGAGCGCACCGCCTACATCGACCTCGACACATCCGCCTGCAAGGTGAGAGTTGCGACGGCTTATTTCCCACACTGCGGGTACCCCGACGCTCACGTCCAG